TACCCGAAGAAAAATAATTTATCTTGCGCAGTTTAGAGGATAAGGAACTTGTCCTGCCGGTTGATATTGATTTTACTACAGCTTTCGATTATTTAAACCATGAATTATTATTACAAAAACTCGAATTTTATGGTGTTCATGGGCAAGCCTTGTGTCTACTACATCTTGAAAATCGGAAACAATATGTGTGTTCCGGTAACTTTGTTCAAATATAAAACCAGTTTTTTCAGGGGTACCACATGGGCGTATTTTAGGCCCATTTCTTTTTAACGTCCATGTAAATGATATAGTAAATATTGTCCAATCTACTCAAGTTTTAATGCATGCACATCATACAACACTTCTTTATGCTGCTGATAATGTGGAGCAGCTAGTGTAAAAAAAAAATTATAATTACATAAAATACCATCATGAACCGACAGGAACGTCTTAAAAATAAATACTAACAAAACTAAAGGTGGTATATTTTGGACAAAACATATAACTCTCCCATCAATATGTAGGATACCATTAAACTTAGTTGACATCGGATTTGCAGATGGTTTTAAAACACTTGGTGTAGTTTTTCTTATAATATGTGCTGGAACCATTATATTGCATATCTAAATAAAAAGCTAAGTTTGTAAGGCTGATATGCCGGCACCGGCATATACCTCAACAAAATTAAATTCTTGCTATATGAATCGCTATATTATTCTCATTCAAATTACTATTCCTTAGTCTAGAATACATCTATAATAACAAACTTGAAAAAAATACACTTAGTTAAAAAACGAATGTAAGGAACAATTGCGAATGCACCATATTTGTCGCATACAAAACACTTAATCAAAATTTATACTTTGTTCCTCCAAAAATTTATATTGCTATAGACTACCCACGGCTTAAAAATAACTGCAACATAACACCTCCTCCTTGGTAAAATTATCAAATTAATAAAAACATGTTTTTACATATTGAACTCGTAGCCCCGATTACTGGCAAATTTATCAACTTGTCGATTAGATTTCTGCAAACAAATGTTAGCCTGCCGAGTCCTAAAACTTCTCAATTTACTAATTTTCACAATATTGATATAGATAAATTTAGTTTAAATGAATTCCGTACCGTCATGTATTGCCTTGACATATTGTACTAATCTTTGGTTCTGCATATATTTCTATGAAGTAGCTATACGTTCTCGGATAAGTTGTTAATGCGGCAATTCCTCCTCATGTGCATGTATTTCTATTTCTTATGTAAACGTAGATCTGGTATATTTATATTACTTAAAAATTTACAGGGTGATTGATATTGGTTGAATGTGTTTGCTCTGTGATTGAATACCTGTTGTGTTTTATGTGAATGTTAACCGTGACTGATGCAGAACGTCCCTGGGGCCGAGAGCTTGTCCAGCTATCTATAGCGGCTTTTATTCTCGGCCCCAGCCTTACCTGCAATGGGAACTGAAAATAAGCTGCTTGTATATTTATTTATACTGCGCGATGGCACTTAAAGACCCCCCAGAATAGTGGTTCTATACTCCACGGGCTAAACTGTTCGTCTACAGCCGAGACACCACAAGCACCCGTTTGGGGCCCACTAACGTACGGCTGTCTAAACAAGCACACCCCCGTAGCCTCCTCTATACTCACAAAGCCTGGCAGTTCGACGACGGAGCCATAGGAGTGCTCGGTCGCAGACTTCGAGCGCGAGGATCTGGTAGCACAGAGCATCAAAGCGCCATTTCCCGGGGAACCTGGACGTCAGCGCACAGCTTGTGCAGCGGCGAGGACCCGAAACACACTCGTTTTGTCGGGAGAGGTGTGTTTCGGCGTCTCGCCGCAGCGGGGCGCCAGTCAAGTGGCACTCCTCTCATCCGTTGTCTGCCCCTCCACCTTTTCTATTTCAGCGGCCGCATCTCGCGGCAACCTGCCAGGCCTTTTCAGTATATAGGAGGAGGCTTTGACACGACACTTCCGAAGACACTGCCGCGTACATCATGTAAAAAAAAGACACGTTCGCCGCATACATGAGCGCCGAATCATCCGTGGACCCGTCTCACTCATGCTCCAAGCATGTTTGCTTTACACATATATGTGTGCTTTGGACACGTCTGCAGACGGTTTATTGTACGACTAAGGTGACAGCACCGCCACACAAGACACGGATGGATGAATGTTAATGGCTATACCCTTTGTAACGGTCGGTAGCTTGCGCCCCCACCTAGCCTAAGCCTAAAAAGACAAACATATGATTCCTCCCGCCCTTCTAAGCCAATTTTCTCACCCTATCACCTCCCCCCTCTCCTCCACCTCGGACGGTGTATGCAGACTGTATTTTGTACGATGTATTAGCAATGCGGACGGGGCCTTACAATTTAGGAGGACCAGCGTGCCGTCAGATTTTTCGACGGAAGGGATGCAGGCGAGTTGCGTGTGTAAAACGATTTATTTAGGGCATTCGACCAATTACGTGGCAATTTAAACATCAAACTTTGTTCGCGAAAAAAAAAGGAAGAAAAAAGCAAACAGCGGCTAGGATCAAACTCCAGTCCGTCGCGGTAGTTGTCGCGCTTTATGCAGATGGTAATGTGCAAGTGCTTCCGTACGCACTTCCAAGGTTAGGCCAACCGGTACGGACGTGGGATGGAGCCACCCTGTCGTCGCACAACGAAATCCCGCTCGTCCGAAACGACGAGGATCGAGACGGGGCCAAGGGCACGGGACGGTGACTTAGAGAAGAGACTCAAAGACACAACAAGGAATGCAGTGAGGCGTTTGTGCGCGCGGTGCAAATTTAGCCTCAGCGCAGGCCCGGGCCCTTAGTTCTCCATTCCCTTTGTCAGCTTGCTCAACCCCGACACAAAGAGCGCAGCTTGTGCCGCGATTACCTGCCAGCTCAGATGGAACGGGAGATTAAAGGCGGAATTAAAAGCTCCAGATCGAGCTATCAGTATCGCTGTCTGTTCGTTAGAAAGACGGGGGTTTCAAGGTCTACGGATTTCCTTCGACGGGGTGTTCCCCAGCGCTGTTCAGGAGTAAAAAAAAAATTCGTATAAGTCAATAATTTGAGTGCAATGATTCTTTTCGGAAAGATGACTTTAGGCGGTGCATTCACTATAGTAAAATATTGTGAGTGTGAGTCATAATAAAAACACGCAAAGAAAAGTTTGATATTTTCTATTATCCTTGTCGGGTACAGAAATGTGAAGGCTATTCAGAGATGAACTTTTTAAAGAAGATTCATCTCATCGGAGCTTGTACCTTTTCTGAGGTCTACCCGTTTGATGGTGCCAGGCCTCTCCGATAGATGGCGCCAGTGTATTCTTTGCTCGTAAGCGATCACAAAGGAGCACAAGGCTTCACAACGCACCAGGTTGCATCCCCGGTGGTTGCAATAAACACAAGTGTGTGAACTGGCCTTAAAACGTGGCCGCGAACAGCTCGAACATAAAAAAAAAAGTAAACGCCACCCAATAGAACTTGTCAAAACGACAATGCAAACGAGAGAGAGAGAGAAAAAAAAAAGACGCGCACAGACACAAAAACAAAAGAAACCTTGCACAACATAAACAGAGTCCCGGCGCTGGCGGCGGCAGCGAAGTGCCCGTTGTTTTTCGACGGCCAGCGGCGCGGGACACGGACGACGTGACCGCGGTGTACCGTTGGCCTCGAGGTCACGCTCTGAATGCTAGGCGTCAGTTTTTTTATGACTAATATTTTTACCGGGGGGGAGGGGGAGTCTCCGCCGCCGCCGCCGACTGGACTTCGAGCACAGCGCGCAGCTACGGAGCACTGCACGTGATTCGGGACTCCCGCTTTACTTTGCACGCCTCGTCGTTCCCCAAACCCCGTTCCGGTTGGGTGTCCCCGTGCGCGGTTGACCTTCCCGCAAGTTTAAAAACATAAATAGATAGAATGGGGAAAACTAGAAAGTTGCTCTATGGTGCGTTCGAGTAGCTCAGGGGCATTACAGTGTGTCGCGGAACGGGCGGATTATTTCGGCGCCCAAGTCAGCCGTCTCCAGGGCGCGTGTTGCGCTCCATTTCAGGTCTAAGTCCATTTTTTTTCTTCATAAATTTTGTTTCCATTTTGGGAGATTTCCCCTAAAATTATTAAGTCCCTCCGTTTTTGTCCATTTGCAGAGGCCACACGTTTTGGGTGAAGGCTAGTTCAATCATTTGCATTTTAATGCGGTCTACTCCGCTACGTCGGCTCGTAAAAAGCTTACGACAAAAGCAGATATTTGCGCACTGGCACCATCCATTGGCCAGCCTTGAAACACCTCAAGTCTGCGGGAATTTATAGAGTGAAGTTTAGACAACATTCGCGGGATCACCCTGTTATACGGTATAGCTATTGCTGTTTGAATTTGTTTACTAGATCCCCTCCCTCCTCGTGTAATGCATTTCATTTAAAGTGCCTTTGAGATATGATAAAATGAACTGATTTGAAATCCGCGCAACGTTTATGAAATGGTCTGTCATAACATTTTCAGAATTATTTGAAGAACACGGAGAATGAATGACGCGTAAAATACACGCAGACAACAATAGCGTTCCAGAGGTGCGCGGAGCGCAAGTTGGGCTGCTTCTTTTGGAGGGGCTGAGGTGACGTGAATACACCGATCTATATGATTGGTTCCGACTGAAGGATAGGGGGTAGATGTAAAGGCAGCTTGCTTTGAGGTCTACCCGCTATCCTTCCAACCAGAGCCAATCAGAACTCGGCGTCTTTGTGACGTCACCGCTACTCCTGCGCAAGAAGCAGACGGCTTGCTCTCCGCATACCCGAGAGGTGGCGCCAGTCTCTCCCCTCGTGGTACGTGGTTACGTGCAGTTGTGACGCGATTAATCCAACCCCAACGCGAATGCGTGTGAAGCAACTACTTAACCCGGATTATGAACATTGTGGAGAGTTGTTGGCATAGCACGAGTGCAATATGGCCCAAGTTGCTTGTGCGCCATAAAAGCCCAATCATCATCATCGAGGGGAACACTAGCAATATTTGGGGCTTACCTCCGAAACCGGGCCTGAACTGTCGGTTGTAGTTCTTCTCCGAGAGAAGGCTGTCCAGCAGGAGGCTCGTGTTCGCCATGATGCCGGCAACGGGCCGGGCTCCGTTGGCTGGCCTGCAAAGATGGCGATGGGCTAAAGGCGCGTCATCAAACACAACCGTTCGATTCGGCGACGTTCACTCTACGGCAAAATATGATACAAAGGTTTGAGTTACTAAACCCTTTTCAGAAGTGCGCGCACTCCAGTATCTGCCGGACCGATTTGCCGAGTCCGCCATTGTTGGGACGCCTATACTCTGAGCATGTGTATTGGGCACGAGGCTAGCGTCAGCGTATGCCGACGACTCGGATCCAATCACACGCTTCGTGACCAGAAAATGGCGACTGCCGAGGTTGCTCGACGTGATTTTGAAAAAAAGAGTCTATTGAACCACCGTAGCCGTGTAATCTTCATGGAGGAAAGTGCAGGGTGTTTCGGGCAAAACGAACGAAAGTGCATAACAGATGATACAAGGGAAGAACGTTTGTGACGTCTTCTTGACGCATGACAAATAACTCGAAACACCGCCGGCAACCTTATTTTCCCCCTTTTTTTTGAGGAGGGTATTGTTAGACTTTGTGTCATGTTATGATAAGTGCTTTAACCTGCACGGTGTAGCTAGGGAATGGTAAGTGCCTTAACCTGCATGGAGATGTAGCTAGGGAATATGTCTAAATTTTGTGTATTAAAACATTTTTTATCATTTTTGTTGCATCTTTACCCAACTCATAAAAAAAAAGCTCCAGTAAAGTGGCGAAAAGGAATATATTACTCTCAGTATAGGTAAGGTCTGACTAAAAGTCGCTGGCCTTTCGGGTAAGACCACCGTATTTACCCAACCTTAGCCACCTACGTTACTTCGTTGCTGGCTGATGTTGTACACAGAGTCGTTCAAGACAGCGAACAAGTATCGATGTCCGCGGTACGCACACAAGAGAAACAAACGAGCCTCTCGCGGGACACGAATTCCTCCGTACCGGCGTTCTAAGAAAAGGGACGTCCCCGCTCACTGACTGGCCGCTGAGACCCGAGTCGAGGATTACCGAAGCCAAGCTTAATCCGTAGCCAACCTCGAGTGTCTCTGCTCGGTCGAGCGAACCGACTGGCCGCACAGTTTCAACTAACGACGACCGCGGAACACGAGTCTTGTACGAGAGCCAATGAGAGAGACAGAGACCACTCATCCTTTAGAAGGGAAAAAAAAAAAATAAAAAGAAGAAATGTGTAGGGAGAATTAGGGTTGGGTGGACGAGCTCTCAAGCGTCTCCGTGACCTTTGAAGTTTCACTCGCCGTGGCTTTAGTTGTTTGTAGCAAATCGAGACGAGGTTCGATGTCAAACAGGCTGCAGTCATGTCCTATGCTTCAAAAAAAAAAAAATGACACGGGGAGCATGGATTATAAAGGTTACGCAAATTGTCACAAAACAGTCTGCAGACAGTGGGGAGTTTTAGGGAACCGTTTTTGCACATTGGATACGGTACGATGAGCCCTCTGGTGCGCATTGCGCATGCGCTAGCACAGAAGATTTTCATATGCGCACTTCGTAGCGGTGTGCCCATCGTACCATATCGAATATGCGAAAATGGTTCCCTAAAACTTCCAACCGTCTGAGGCGTGTTTCTTCCTTGCTCGGACGGCCCTTACCACATTGGTCGTAAAAACAACAACAACAACAACAATTGCGGCAAATTTTATGAAGTTTTAGAGTGCATCAAATGTATATAGGGTATCAATGAGGTAATCGGGCATGTCGCTTGACGTATATGTTCAGTTATCCGCTAAATTAAGCGGAAAAATTCATGTCTTGTGAACTGGACCCCGTCAATCCAGTTCCCTCGTTAAATTTTGAGGAAACCTAACGTTGCGTGACCAGTACAACTATCCGGTAACCTTGCTAAGTTTATCGGGGAAACTGGATCGGTGTATGGGCCGCGAGACGCGAATTTTCCTGCTAAATTTAGCGGGAAACCGAATTTGTGCACACAGGTCACGCGACGTGAATTTCCCACTACATTTCCAAGTCAAATTTAGCCGGGAAACTCAGCCGACGTATAGGCCCCGTGCCGTCAGTTTCCCCCAAGGTGTATAAGTCACGTGACGCCACCTTGTCGCCACTTTCCCCTCAAAACTTTTAACGGAAGATATATGGAGGGACAACATCGTTGGATTTGAAGGGAGGGGGGGGGGGGGTTAAGAAGCATTTCGTGATTTAAAACGGCATGCAGACAATATCAAATCATACACTTGCGTGATGAAAACATGCTTCCAATATGCCTAAAACGTGTCGACGGATACTTCAATCGCCATGTCGGCAGCGACATCTTTTGTATGATGTACGCGCGGAGTGACTGCGTTTTAAAAAGCCCCGCGTTGCGTTTTTTTTTTTATAAGCCGTGAATGTTTGTACCCTCTTTTGTTCTCGTTGTCCAGAACGCCTACCTGGCGCCTGAACGGGTAGAAGAGGACTACATAAAGGTTTATCACGTCGGTTACGGGGGCAACTCTGGTAGCGGAGTTTCGCTGTCTCCTTTCGGGCTCCGAGACACCCCCCATGTCTACATCGGTGCTGCCTCCGCTCCTCTGTCTCGTGCTCCCCACCTCCCAGGCTGAGCAGCGGCATCCGGTGCCTGACGCTGCTTTCGCTGTTCACCGGTTTCGGCAGCCCGCCTCCTCCGCTGACAATCTGCCTTCGTCCGCCGCCTACTTGGACCGGCGCTAGTACTTGGTTCGCACTTCCTTTTGTAGCACAAAGCAAGGCATACCGGCTCCGCACAACTACGAGTTCAGACTCGCTCCAGCATACGCGCACGCATTGGCTTCAACCCCGAGATGTCGCCTCCCTCCCGACTGTACTCCTGCCTTTGTCTTTCACTGCCCTCTCCCTTTCTAGGCGGCCCGCTTCCTTTTTGGCTGTTTTGTTGTTTTGTCCACACAGGGGCGCCGTCAACTTTTTCCTGTCACGTGGGTAATAATGCTGACGCATTAATATAAGTTCTAGATAGGTGGCGCAAGCCACCGCCCGGTTAAGGGGGTTCAGACATATTCATCCGTCTATCCATACAGGTTCATTGAAGGAACAGCCTCAACCAATCGACCCGCTTCTTCACTATCACATTCAACGGGAAGATGAGAAGAAAAAAAAAAAGAAAGTCGTTTACAATTCTCTCTAATGTCAAATTAGAGCGCAGCTCTTAAGGAGGAGGAAGGGAGGGTACGGAGGAAAGAGTATGCCCTTCTCCACTCCCCTTTTCCTCTCCTGCTCCCCTCCCATTTAGCGAAAAATTTTCGCTACATTTCCCGCTAAATTCGATGAAAAAAATTCCCCGCTAAATTTAGTGGGGAAATCTAGAGGGGAGCGCGATCACGTGGCGAAAGAAAAGGCGCATGACAAGTCCGACGAGCACGTAGCTTCCACCGCACTCTAAGCTTAGGGGTGAACGAAGTATAGTGGTTATTCGTTTTTTCTTTTTTTCGCCGTTGTTTTTGCATAAAGTCGCATCCAACACGTCTTCTATCTTCATTTGCATGTCAATAAGGTCATCGAGGTGCGGATTAGGTTGATCCAAATTAACTCCTTCCTTTGATATTTTCGGAAAGACGTACGGCGCGCGATGTCAGGATTCGAGAGAATCTACGACGACCGAGAGCTTACCGCTTTACCCGCGATGAAACTGTTGACCTTTGCCTGGCCGCCGCGGGGATCAATGGACAAGAACCTCGAAGCATGCAAAGCCAGGACCACTGCCATATCGTCGCGATAGGAGGAGGAGGAGGAGGCCTATTTCCGCAGACCTCCTTCATTCATAATGCACTCCAGATTAAGAGGGGGGCAGCCCGGATGTTTAATATTTTTCCTTTTTTTTATAAATTTAGATTTTTCTTTTTTTTCTTTCACGTCGAGTTTTTTAAGCTCAGTGGGCACACACACGCACAAGAGATACACTAAAAGAAAATATAACAAATAGGGTGACTCAAACATGAAGTAACGAACTCGAGTTTTTCATTTCTTATTTTTACACTGAACCGGGGTTCAAAAAGACAACGAAGCCAGGAGGAAAAACACGAAACGAGAAATGGGCATGCAAATCTCGCGTCGCGCCGACGAAGAACACCTGGCTTTAGTGTGAAAAAGAAGAAAAAAAATAGTAAAATAGGTGGCGAGACTTGAAACTATAAATTTCGCAAAAGAAGGAAAAGATTAAAAGAGGGGGGAGCCTATGAGTCATGCCGACCTCACTTTTCACTCAAAAGTGTCTTTTTAGGGCGGACCTTCTGTTTCCTGTCAGAGGGTCAACTGAATACCAATAAATCAAAGCAAAAGGCGGATCACGTTTCGCAAGGCGGCCCTCTGAGGCACCCGAGGGTTCCGACTTCACAGCGCATAAGTGTCTCACAAACACGAACTCACTCGATTACAGACACAAAACACACACACAGTGCTGAACTCACAACTCTTTGTACTTTGTCTTCGTTTCATCGTCAAGACCAAAACTTGTTTCGTGCTTCTCCAAACCGATCAGAGAGCTGCACTAAGAATCACAAAACCAGTTCGGTCCAGTGCACAGAAGATGTCGTGTACTCAATTCCCCTCTCCCGTGAAGAACGCTATGCTGGCGAGGATGGACGGTGCCTCAACGATCGACTTCGCGAACACCAGAATAACATTACTAGAGCCAGCTCAGGACATCTGGGTCTGCACTGGCCGGGGTTGCGGGTGTGAGGTTCAACTACGTAGTTTCACAGTGCTAGACCGAAACAACAACCAACAACCTAGAGAGATAATTGAAGCAAAGCATATCGCCAGGCTTTACAATGATTGCGTGAGCAGCCCATCTCTCCCCTTATTTGCAAAAAAAAATTAGCTTACCTCAGCTTAAGAAGATAATCGCGGACTATTTTAAGAATTGGTTTTAATTGGCGGAGAAGGAAACGAGGACACGACAATTTACAGATTTTGATTGGACAATATCTAGAAGAATATTAAGACGAAATACAAAGATGCAACTTGGTGTCAACCATCCCTTATAATGAAGACACTGGAACAAATTTTAATAAACAGAAGATTGGCATCTC